GATGGAGACAGAACTGAGATAGAGAGGAGGGGGGGAAGGAAGGAAGGAAGGAAGGAAGGAAGGAAGGAAGGATGGATGGATGGATTTGGGGAAAAGCAGAAGAACCGTGGGTGGAGAAATGGAGCTAGAGACCAATGTCCTTTAATTTTCTCACCAATTTAAAACCTTTCCCCCCCGACTTAGAAGAAACCCATCTTCCCAGAGCAGACCTACAAGACCCACAGGCTCTTTCCCACGGGCCCTGCCCACTGGGCTGCCTTGAGCTTCAGCTGACAGAGCACACAGCGGCTCTCCCTCGGATCAGGGCACGCGGCGCGTCTCCATCAGCACCATCCGGGCAACTCGCAGAAGGGCTGCTCTGTAAGAAGGCCGCCAGAAGAAGCGAAGGCGGAGGAGGGCGGTTCGGTGCCCAGGGTGTCTGAGGGGAGGACAGAGGTGCGCCCCCCCAGGCCCAGCCCCACTTTCCACCTTCCCCGCCCTGCTGCCCTCCAGCTAGGAGCGGGCCTCCCAGAATCCCCCGCCAGCCTCGGGCCAGGTCCAGGAACGAGAGCATCTGCCGTCAAAGGGGAGATTTTGCCCGACTCCAGCATCCCTGGCCAAAGGCTCCGAGAGGAGGGGGCTACCCTCTCCCCGCCAGAGAGGCCGAAGGCCTTCGCTGGGGCTTCTGCTCCTGTCAGCAAGAATCGGACTCAGGTGGAAATTGCTAACGGGACAGGCTCAGCCCGGGTCACCTGCCCGACACGCACAGCGTCAGCAGCAGCCTTCAGGGAGGCATGAAAGGCAGGAAGGGCAGCGCAGGAGACGGGAAGGCCTCCATTGCGGGATCTGCTTGTGGAGGCACAGATTCCCCTAAATGGACATTTGCATTGCGAAGGTTCTTTTTCGCTCTCTTTCCTGTGCCCAGCACCTGAATGTTCTTCCCAGAAACAAAGGCACAAAATCACATTAAAACCTCCTAAGCAAAAACGCTCCGACTGGACTGGAGTATTAACAGGCCATTTCCATAACGGATGGGGGCACGTTCAAATCCCCAGGGTTTTTTTACTGTCTCGAACGCAAGAGAAAGGTGGGGGTTGCTTGGTTGGTTGGCTGGTTTCCCCACGGCGGGAGTTACTTGGAGCCCGAAGAGGCATTTGGGTCCCCTTTTCTGAATCCCAACTGCCGCGAGCGCAAGGCTAATGCAAACGCTGATACGGCCCCTATCAGGGCACGGGGGACCACAATTCCCACACCGTCTGTGGATAAGGCAAACGGGAATCCAACACCCTCTCGGGAGTCCCGTTCAGAAGCTGAAAAAAGGGGCAGAGAAACAGCGCTGCTCCGAATATACCACCCCCATCTGGCTGTGTTCAGCCCCGAGCCAAGGGGGAAGGCGGGGGCAGACGGGGGGACATGGCTGCTTACCTTTAGGCAGGGTCTGATGCCAAAGGAGTTGCTCTCCGCCATTTGATGCAGATGCAAAGTTGACCTAGTTGCAGAGATTGGGGAGGGGGGAAGCAAAGTTAGGCGCTTCCACGGTGGGGGACCATCCACAGGCACAGAGAAAGTTGGGGCAGAGAGTCTTCTGCACCAAACTTGGGCAGCAGAAATTCAGCCAGGGCAAAAAGTAGAACCCGGGACGTTCACGATGTTCTGACTTGTTCCAAAGGATTTAGAGATGCTCCAAGGGGCGTCCTGGTGCCGTACCCTCATTTCTACTTGTAGTTGTCGTTGTTGCTGTTATTAATTAAATTCATTGGCCACCCAACTCCAGTGGGCTCTTGTTGCTTTAAGAAAAGAAGTCAGTCTGCAGAAGTCTCAAAAGGGGCTCTAGGGCCACACAGAAAGGGCTCCCAGCTGTCATTGCTGTCTCCCCACAGCAGGCAAAAAAGAGGGTCCCCTGATGTGACATCGCAAAACCTTTCCAGCGTTGCCCCTTCCCCTTGAGAAAAAAGGGTTCGGGGCTGGGAGAGAGGTGGCTGAAGTCCCAGGGAGCCCCCACACCCACTTCTGACCAACGGATCTGCAAGCGTTGAGGAGGGGGTCGGCATCCTCTGTCCCAGGAGGAGCAACTCCAACAGGGGCTCGCCAAAGAGCCCCTCACCGCCACCTGGCACCGCCAAGGACAGAGCCTCCCCCAGGCCTGGGTGCCAGTGAATGCGAGCCTTTCCTGGCTCTCTGGCCCCCTCTGCTGGGGAAGGGAGCACCTCTGCCAGCATGGCTGAGCAGGAGCTGCCGGGCATCAGCCTTGCCTTTGGGGTGGGAAGACCTAAAGCTCTGCTGAGCCACGGAGCCCTGCTTGCAAGGCGGAGTCCGTGTCTGAGGTGACGGCTAGGGCCGCCCTCTGCTGCCTCGCACGGGAGACCTACGCGCCCCCTCCCAGGCCATACCCACAGTTCAGTGATTTTCGAGGGAGCCTGAGGGCCACCCCTCCTTCTCCACCAGCGCTACAGGTGCTTCACCGCCCCCATCTCTGCCCCTCCCCAGCAGCCTACCTCTGGTCTAAGTCCAGCCCCGCCAGCATCTGCGTGAAGACATTGAAGGTGCCTTCTCCCTCGGGCTGCTGCGCCACGCGGGCTCTTTCTAGCAGCATCGTCTGGGCAGGAGAAAGAAGGGAGATCTCCAGGTCCAGCTCCCTCCCTGCCAACTCCACTGAGACTGCACGTCACTTGGGCACAGCGGGGGCGTCCCCGTGTGAGCACGTCCAAAGGCAGGGCAGCAACACTCCGACCTGGTGCCACCTCCAGCCATCTTACCTGGAGATGGGCAGCTGTTACACGTCCAGTGGCACTGAAATCCAGTGCCATGACCATGGAGAAGCGGGTGGAGGCTTTGTTAAGACCAGCAGACACTGCGCCAAAGGCTCTGAGCACCGTGAACATGGCCTGGATCTTCTCCACTGCAAAGCCAAGGCACGCTGGAGAACGCAGGCATGTAACTCACCACCACCCTCCCTCTGGCCCTGGCTGGGCGGGCTGGGCGTTCACCCAAAGCACCTGAAGGATGCTGGGTTGGGGGAGGCTGCCAGACAGTGCCCTACCTGTGACCCGGTTGTCCACACTGCCTGCAGTGCCCACGAGGTATTCCAGGATACTCTGGCAATAGGTGGTCTTTCCGGTGTGGCTTCTGCCCAGGGGCACGATGGCCTGATCCTGCCGCTGCATCAGCATGTTCCAGTAGGCCCGCTGGGCCACGGCAAAGATGTGTGGAGACATCCTGTCCTTCCTGCCTTGGAAGGCCTGGGAAAACACGGCCCTGCTTGTTCCTTGCAAAGCCACCACGATCACCCGCCAGAGGGGCCGCGGGACAAACCAGTGACTGCCCCCCAAAAGGACGCGCCCTTCACCCAGCACCCAGGTCAAGCTCTTTACCTTCTTGGAGCTGCTGGCCACGGAAGAAAACGGCCGGAGGGCGATCAAGTGAGGACCGGAGTATGTGTACGGCAGCTGTGACTGGCACCTCTGGCGGAGAACGTGGAGGACGCTTGCCTCGTTCAGGCTGACCAGCGCAGCCAGGTCCTCGGCGTAGTCCAGGCTGGACGGGTTGGCCTGTCGAGAGAGGTGGCGGAGGTGGGCCCCCAGGCCCCGGGAAAGCCATCTGCTGCCTGCCCCAAAGGAACAGGCCGACCCTCGCCTCCTCCCCCAGTTTTGAGCACGCAAAGGAACCAAGAGACCCAGCCGGGACGCTTGCGCAGAGCCAGAGCGGACAGGGATGCTGTTGACATCATCCCTGTAAATACCGCCATGGGGGCTGCTTGCGTTGGGGGGGGTGGGATAGAACAACTCACTTTCTGGACACTTTCTTCTTCCACCTCAGCGATGGAGCCATCGGCGTCCACGCGAACCCGCACGATGCCTGGAGGCGGCTCCAGAGTCCCCACGTCCGGCTTTAGTTCAGTGGCTGCAATGTTAAGACTAATCGTAGTGCCAACAGCCTCGGAGCTGAACCACCCTACAAGGGCTGGGTTTGCACCCCACGCTGAGCCAGGCCAGGCGAAGCCCCCCCCCCGCCTTCTCACCCCAGACTCAGCTTGGGTCACGTCAACTTCAGCTGCTCTCTTTGGGCTGGCTCAACCCATGGTGCGAATCCCTGATCAGTGAAGGGTGCTGGGATGTGCCCCGGTTATTTGCCCCAGGCCGTTTGGACAACCTAGAGCCGCTTCCCGCCCCAGTGGTCCCCAGCCCTTCTGAATCTCATCTCCCAGAACGCCAGGAAAGCTGCCCTCGAGGCCCTCCGCTGCCTCCAAAGATGGGGGTCAAAGATGGGGGCCAAATTGGCGCCCGTCCCCATCCCCGGAGCCCCCCGAGGGGGTCACGCAGGGTCAGCTCTGGGCCAGGGAGGGTCCGCGGCTCCCTTCTCCCAGGACCCAGTGACCCTGCCTGTCCCAGGCATTGCCCACCTTGCCATGGTGGCCTCTCCCGCCTGCCTCAGCTGCTCCAGCCTCCCCACCCCCATAGCACACACACACACACACACACACATGCACACACAGCAGCACAAGCAGCAAGGAGAGCACAATCTTTGTCTTTTATTTATTTATTGCATTGATATTCCACAACAGTCCATGGACTCTCAGCAGCTTCCACGATATGAAAAATTAATTAAAACATCCACGGTACATTAAACCTAAAAAAATTAAATCTAAATCATAAAATCCGAAAACAGTGAATTCACTGAAAACAGTGAACAGTGCCCCAGCGACAGCCGCACAAAGGAAATAGAGGCAGCGCGTAAAAAGCGGCAGAAGCCACAGACTCCGCCGGGAGGCCCTCCGGAGGCGCCGGGCCCCTCGCGGCCCTCCCAAAGCCGTTGGGGAAGGGCGGTCGGATCTCCCGCGAGGGCCTCCCCCGCTCAGCCCTCGGATCTACACGCCAACCTACCAAGGGCGAATCTATCCTTCTGGGCCAGCCAGACCTTCTCCGTTTCATACCACACGTCCTCCGAGACCTGCTAGGGGAGGAGAGAGGCTGAGCGCGCACGGCTGCGGCGGTTTCTCGGCTTCCTCGCGAAGGGGGAGTGGGAGCTCCGCGGGGACCTGCAATCCTTCG